GCTCAAATCTTGAGTCCAAAGTTCAAACTGTTTCAGACTTTCTTGACTCATTTGTAAGTGGTCTTCAAAAATTATTACCTCATGATTTCATTGCAAAGCAACAAGCGGGTTACCTCCAAGATCTAAGTACACTTGAACCAGGAATAGTCTTGGTCATTGCAGATTTTGCTGAAAATTACAGCTTTGTAGTACAGGACGCTTCTCAGTCTTTTCATTGGAACAATCTGCAAGCAACACTTCATCCCTTTTGTATGTTAATACCGGGAAAACATGCAAGATGAAATTGACCATACAAGTTTTGTGATTATATCAGAATGTAACACACATGATACTGTGGCAGTTCACCTTTTTCAAAAATTGCTTATACAGTTTTTAACAGACACACTTGGACATGTTAAGAAAATATGCTATAGATGTGTATAAGAGACAGATTAAAAACCTGTCCCAATAAGCGGTCTTTAATTGGAGGGAGAACTGTATTTTATAGGCGAAATCAGTGGCGTAGGTATGGGCAGCGAGGCAGTGCAAAGCACTGGGGCCTGGGGCTTTTTGGGGGCCTGTTTAATAGGCATATAGATCTAACATTGCAAGTAGGATGACTTTTTACAAAAAAAAAACCAAAAACATGCCATGACCAGCTTTGTAACTGTCTAACACAATCAAGGTTATTTTTTTCCATTAGAAATTTACGTATGCTTCGTACCACGGTAAATATACACTAACATACTTTTTGAAGGCATATTTCTAAGGCAAAACATCTAGTCCAGCAGCTAGATATGGTTTATGCGTACATACTCTGCGATTTATATAGACCTGTTTTTTCATGCTCCTGATACATTTGGTCATCCATTTTGCCCATGTAGCAATCGTAAAATTGGGTCCCCGGGTCCAAAATGGCCGCTTTTATGCAAAAGTATCCATTTTGGGGTAAAAACACAAACCCTCTGTATTTCAGTTACTATTGGTGATAGAGAGTTCAGTTTGGTGCCAAAATGTTCAGAAGGATCATGTTTCTATTCACTGTAATGAAACATTTTTTCCCAGAAAGTAACAGGAAAAAAATTATTACCAAAAAATTCGTTTTTTGCCCAAAAAACATGTTTTTTATAATTTCCTATTTTTCCAAGCCATCAATTGTTTCCACTTATTCAAAGGTGGCAAAAGATAGCAAAAGTGACAATAATTTATCACAAAAAATATTTAAAAAAAATTCTAATAGCTTGTGCATAAAAAAATAATTGATTTAACTTCAAAAAAGCCGGTTTTGGTAAAATTTTCACAAAATCAGGAGAAATTCGTAACTCTGTTAGTATTTATCAGATTGTGTTGACTTTGGTCTCAAATTACTCGGAATACATGCATTTCTATTTGCTTTAATGGAACATTTTCTCTAAAAATAACCAGGAAAATATTTATTACCAAAAAATCCTGTTTTTTGGGCAAAAACATGATTTTAACTAGATTTGAACTCGTCACTGAGGACGAGTTAGGTGATCCGCCGCACTTTGACACTCATTAAGATCACGCGGTGCTGATTGAAAAGTGTCATAATATCTAAAATATGCTGTAATTAGTTTTTTTTTCAAAGAATAATTTTGAGCATTTTAAAAGATTTCCGCATGTGTACACGTACGTCTTGACGCCCGTGAGTACGGTAATAGCACAAAGAGTGACTCCTGATGAATAATGTGTCAGGAACACAAGATATGTAACAAAACGTGATTTCAATCTTTAATATATGCTGTGTGCGTGGAAATGAACGTACGGCGGGTAAATTATGGAAACAACATGATTGACCAGATCGAATATAAACAGTGGACTTCAACTGACCACTCAAATCTTGAGTCCAAAGTTCAAACTGTTTCAGACTTTCTTGACTCATTTGTAAGTGGTCTTCAAAAATTATTACCTCATGATTTCATTGCAAAGCAACAAGCGGGTTACCTCCAAGATCTAAGTACACTTGAACCAGGAATAGTCTTGGTCATTGCAGATTTTGCTGAAAATTACAGCTTTGTAGTACAGGACGCTTCTCAGTCTTTTCATTGGAACAATCTGCAAGCAACACTTCATCCCTTTTGTATGTTAATACCGGGAAAACATGCAAGATGAAATTGACCATACAAGTTTTGTGATTATATCAGAATGTAACACACATGATACTGTGGCAGTTCACCTTTTTCAAAAATTGCTCATACAGTTTTTAACAGACACACTTGGACATGTTAAGAAAATATGCTATTTTTCTGATGGCTGTGCTGCACAGTATAAAAATAGAAAAAACTTTTTAAATTTGTGCCTCCATGAAGAAGACTTTGGTGTTCAAGCTGAATGGCACTTCTTTGCCACCTCGCATGGAAAGGGACCATCTGATGGTGTGGGGGGGACAATAAAGCCTGTCTCTTATACACATCTAGATGTGTATAAGAGACAGGATCAGTACATACCATAAATCATGATCAGATACACCATCGATGAAAATTATAAGACAAATCATTTGTCAAAATAAAATCAATGTCAAAAAGATGTTTTGGCT